AGACAGTGTAAGTATTTATTGCTATTATTTGATATAGATTAAACTGTTTTTGTAACTGCTCTTCATAGGCATGCAAAAAGTTGGTGCCTTTGAGGTAGCCCTTAATATCGATTTGCTTTCTTGAGTAGGATAAACTACCTCCACAATTGTTATACATTTAATTACGCAATAAAACATTTTCTTAGTTCTGGGCTAGGAAATGTTTCAGTGATCATAAGTTTCACTTTTGAATTATCGAGATTTTATGGTAATGAGCAGAAGCTATGGATATCTCGTATAGCAAGATATATACCCATTTCCTAAATCTTATATCCTTTGAGAGATGACTAGAAATTGTCAAAGAACAAATTTATACAGGGGATATTCTATGAAATAGTAGGTACTTAGGTTTGTAACTGGTTTATTGTAAACAGTTATGTTGTAACTGTTTTATTTTCACTGTGAAAAAATCCAGTATCTGAGAACACTGTGACTTTTATTAAAAAAAAAAAAAGTTCAGGACAGCATTCATAAAGGTGCTCCCAAATACACATTTTATGTTATATGTACTGAGTCAGATTGAACTCTTAAGGAGAAGCATTTTAAAGGATTCTTGGGTGGCTCAGCGGTTTAGCACCTGCCTTTGGCCCAGGGTGTGATCCTGGAGACCCGGGATTGAATCCCACATGGTGCTCCCTGCATGGAGCCTGCTTCTCCCTCTGTCTACGTCTCTTCCTTTCTCTGTGTGTCTCTCATGAATAAATAAAATTTTTTTTAAAAAAAGCATTTTGAATATAAGCTTAAATAATTGTAACAGAGAAATAATAAGAATTTTGGGGAAGTAGACAATTTAAGTTTCAAACAGTAAATATAACTCAGAAAAATAAACTATTACATAGGTAGGGCAACTTTTTAAAAATACTTCTGGAACCATTAAGATATAGGTCCATATATAAAGATAGGCCACTAATATCAATCAGTATCTGATTTCCATCTTCATCTGTGATAGACTGGTTTATTTCAAACTAAGTCCCATACTGAGAAACATGAGAAAGCTGCATTTAAAAAAAAAATTACATGCATTGTAGCTTTGTCAAAGGGCAAAGATCCCAGAGTGAAGAGAAACACATTGAGGTGCACCCTGTATTCAGTGCTACTTTTTATCTTGGGTTACTTGTCACTTTGTAAGCACCACAGGCATGAAACTGAGAAGCCAAAGAGTGGCAGCTGAGATGGTAAGAGGCTGAGCAGAATTTTTGACAGTTTTACCCTGCTAGGAGGTCAAACTAGAATTCAAGGAGGAGGAGGCAGGACCCTGGTAAATACTCCATACTTTTAATTGGAGTATTTTTTTTAATTGGAATCCTTGAAGGATATATCCTAGGAGTTAGGGAGAACTAGAAATAGACCATAACTTAAAATAATTGAGATGCAGCCTCTGATAAACTAAATCCTGATTTTAAGATGATCTGCCTTTTCTTTAACTGTCTTTGCCAGAAGCAAGAGGCATCATGCAGAATCTTAAGTTTTTTTGTATCCCACGCTTGGCATTCAATAAAAAATCACCATGCATGTCAGAAGGCAAGACCAAGATAAAAACAAAATAAAACAATAAATGATAGAAACAATCATAATGATCTAGTTGTTGGAATGATCAGATATGAGCTATAAAATAATTATAACAAATATTTTGAAAACTTGATGAAAAGATGGATAATTTCATCAGAAAACAGAATCTATAAAAAAAATTAAAAGGAATTCTAGAAATTAAAACTAGTATGAACTGAGGACAAGAACTCAGTTGATGAGTTTGACAGCAAATTAGATATAGCCTTGGAGAAGATTCATGAACAGGGTGAAAGGTCACTTAGAAAATATCTAGACTGGAATACGGAGGGATAAAAGATTGTGACATACAATGAATAGGGCAAGAGGTATGCGCGTAGCACATAGTGAAAAGGGCTGGCATCTATCTAATTGGGGTAGCAGAAGAGGAAGAGAGAGTGGGGCAGAGAAAGTAGTATCTGAATAAAGGCCAGACATTTTCCAGAACTTATGAAGGACATCAACATACAGAATCAAGAAGCACTACAAATCTGATCAGGATAAATACAATGAAAAAAGACATTTAAGGCACATGATAGACCTTTGAAAGCCAAAGAAAAAGAGAAAAATCTTGAAATGAGAAAAAAAAAGACATTGTCAAAGAAGCAAAAAATAGCTGACTTCTTAACCAATGGAAGGCAGGAGATAACTGAATGATGTCTGTAAGGTGCTAAAGGGAAAAACAAAATTCCAGCCTAGCGTTTTGTACCTTTTAGAACTATTCTTCAAAAATCAAAGAGAAATATACTCTTTTTCAGACAACCACCCCCTAGCATATTGTCCATTGCCCTATTGGACTTCACTTATAAAACATTCAAACTAGTAATAATTTTAAGATGGCAGCTGGAGAGCATTAAGGCCCAAGTGTGTGGTCTCTCTGAGCCTCAGACTCCTGTGTGATTGCATTGGTCACAACCTTAGGAAGCTGGCCCTGTGATTGGTATGGGGGTCAGCATTGGACATCAGTGGGGCTGATCTGAGCAATTACTGGAAACAGATGCATAAATATTAGAGGTGAGAAAAGGAATGTTTAGTTAAAGTATGAACAATATGAATCTCTTAAAAAATAAGTCACATTTCTTTGGGGCATCTGGGTGGCTCAGTTGGTTAGGTGTCAGACTCTTGATTTCAGTTCATATCCTGGTCTCAGGGTCATGAGATCAAGCCCCATCCTGGGCTCCACTTTCTGCAGGGAGTCTGCTTGGGATTCTTTCTTTCTTCCTCTCCCTCTGCCTCTTCTCCTATGTGGCCTCTGCCTCTCTTTCTCAAAATCAATCAATCAATCAATCTTAAAACAAAACACAAAACACCCCAAACCAGTCACATTTCCTTAAGTTTACATTAACAAAATAGGTGGTAAGTATAGTAGACAGAATTTTGGTCTCCAAGAAGATTCTATACTCTAATCCCCAGGACAGTGAATATGATGAAATATCATGGCCATGAATATGTGACCTTGTATTGCCAAAGGACTTTGCAGATGTAATTAAGGTTGACCTTTAATTGACCTCAAAATAATGAGATTATTTTCAATTATCCATGCCCAATTTAATCACGAGTTAATTTTTTTTTTAATTTTACTTTATTTAAATTCAATTTGCCATCATACAATATAACACCCAGGGCTCATCTCATCGTGCACCCTCTTTTTTTTTTTAAGATTTTTATTTATTTATTCATGAGAAACAGAGAGAGAGAGAGAGAGAGAGGCAGAGACATAGGCAGAGGGAGAAGCAGGCTCCATGCAGGGAGCCCGATATGGGACTCGATCCAGAACTCCAGGATCATGCCCTGAGCCAAAGGCAGACACTTAACTGCTGAGCCACCCAGGCGTCCCCATTGTGCGCCCTCCTTAATGCCTGTCACCCAGCCGCATGAGTCTTTAAAAGCAGAGGCTGACGTGAGGGAGATCTAGAAGAAAAGTCAGAGAGATCCAAATGCAGGAAAGGTTTGAAGCATTATTGCTGGCTTTGAAGAGTCAGGGGCCCTGAGCAGAGAAAAGTGTGCTGCCTCTAGAAGCTAAGAATAACGCCTGACCAAAGGTCGACAAAGGAATCAGGAGCTCAATCCTGTAACTATATAGAATTGTATTTTGCCCACAACCTTATAAGACCGAGAGTAGATTCTCCCCCATTTTCCATATAAGGGCCCAGAGCAGCAGACACCTTGATTTTGACCTGAAGAACCTAAGCAGAGTACCCAGCCAAACCTGCCAGACTTCTGTCCTAGAGAATGGTGAGCTAATGAATGAGTGCTGTTTCCTAAGTTTGCTTTAATTTGCTCTAGGGGCAGTAGAAAATTTTGTTACACAATTAAAAATTAAAAACAGTTCTAATATTACCCTTAAAATATATGGAAAAGTAAAGTGAACTTTTACAAAAGATTCTTACAAGCATTTGCAAATACTGATTTTATTTAGGTAACTTGACCAACTATCTAAAAATTGTTTTCTTGGGAAGCCTGGGTGGCTCAGTGGTTTAGTGCCGCCTTCAACTCAGGGTGTGATCCTGGAGTCCCAGGATGGAGTCCCAGGATCAAGTCCCACGTCAGGCTCCCTGCATGGAACCTGCTTCTCCCTCCCCCTGTGTCTCTGCCTCTCTCTGTCTGTGTGTGTGTGTCTCTCATGAATAAATAAATAAAATCTTAAAAAAAATATAAAAATTATTTTCTTTTACAGAAAACAACTCTGTCAGCCTCTACCTGCCAGTTTCTTGGTACAAAGTATAGTATAAAGCCTTAGGAGATCTTCCTTCTCCTTTCAGCTATATTACTTGTTAACTGTCCTGTGACCTTGTACCAGTTATCTTAATTTACAGTGTCAGTTTTAGCATATACAAAATATAGACTAACAGTTGATCTCCAAGGTCTCTTCCATTTTAAGATTGCATGACAATAGTTTTAAGGAGATGGACATAAGAATCAATCACTCAGAATATCAGAAAAATATAGACTTTTGCATACTTGTGAAGCAGGAGTCAAAACCAATTTTAAATTTTTAAAAGAAAAGAAACCATGTTGGCATATGAAACAGAAGTTTTAGAATGGATAAGGAGACTTTGAACACCAAAGCTCTTTTGGTCAAAGGCATCAAATTAATCTGCTTATTAAGATTAAGATTATGTCTTCAGTAGAAATTATTGAAAATCGAGAAATTAAAAGTTGGCAAGGAGGTTTGTTACAGGAGGATGAGAGCAAAATCTTTTCCTTCTTGCTTACAATTATTTAAAATAAGAAAGCTGTAGAAAGTGTACATTTCTTTATTCCTTCTAATTTACCCTGAGAATTGAGTTATTAAGCTTCTAATGGTCATTCTTGTTCTGATTATCTGTTTTGTTAATTTATGATGCACTTCCTGCTTGTCAACACTGTTCATTTGCTCTTACAAGACATGCCAGTGTCCATATTTTGTTTCATAGTTTAGGTCCTGGAAATGTGGAAGGAATCTCAAAACTTCAACATAACTGTATTTGCTCCAAGGTCAGTAGTCACCATTCCATTTTTTTTTTTTTTTACCTTTTATAAAAAAATAGGCACTGTTTTTGGTGAGTGGAGGTAGCAGTTGCTGGGAAATGTGGCTGTGGCTGATAAGAAAGGGAAAGGGCTTAAAAGCAACAGCCACCAAACTTTATCTGTGCTTTGGAGCTCAGGAAAATGTTCCTGTCCAAGAAGTGAACAGGAATCCTTTTTTTGATGCTGTTGTTTTTTACTGTTTATTTCCATTAGTGAGAAGCCTCAATGCCCCATATTATGAAAGATTACTCCTTGGATAATCTAGTGACAGGTTTACTCACATTCAGAGGTCATGTTCATATTTACTGAAGGCACCACAAATATAAGTTTCACTTTATTAAAAATTGTATGGATGTTGAAACTGCTGACAGAGAAGCTGGCTCAGTTGGATTTGACTATGGATATGATAATTATAATATGGCTTTTTGTTCTTTTAGAGGTCATAAGTTACATTGCAAAGATTTGTGTATTTGGATTGCTGAAAAGTTACTCTAGAGTGTTATGACAAAACAGTAGGAAACATTTCACTGTGAGTAGTATGTCTCACGTAAATTTCATTATAGAATTAATGAAGAATCATTTAAATATTCAAGTTTATTAAAAATTCATTATTCTTCTAGAGGATCTTTAAAGTGCAATAAGAACTTGAAATAATAGGAAAGTTTTGGTAACCGTGACAGTGTGTTAATTGAGTTGAAGGAAGGTAAAAAATGTATTAACAGAATGGATCCAAATTTGGCAAAAAAGATGTATAATAAATCAAGAGGGGAAATCAGTTAGTAAAGAAAGAGGCCAATTATTAGTGAAGGAGGGGGGTATATTTAATGATTCTAAATGAAAGGTTAAACTGCTTCTGTGAATTTCAATTGAACAAAAAGGAAGAAAAGCAATATGGATAATTAGGCAGTAATAAGATCATACTGAAAAAAAAATCAGAAAACTGCCTTAGGTGTTAGGGGAATATTGGCTAATGAACTTAACCTCCTGCAATTATCTTTGAATACTCACTTTTACTTTAGAAATGGAGGGGAGTGATGTTTTTAGTTATCTTCAGAATGGTATGATTTTTTACACACATTTATTGTATGTAGACTTTTAAATGGTAACAAATAATGAAATGGAGTAAAATAATTTCTCATGAAAAGGGTATCATCTATAGTTCAGTAAAATACTATAATTTTAGCTATGATGTATTTTTTGTTATTGATTAATTCTTTAAATTTGGATTCTACTTAAGTGTTTGACAAGGGAAACATTTTAGAGGCTGCCAACCTAATTGAACCATTCAGAGAAATGCAATATAAGAAATTAGGATTCCTGTAAGGGTTTCTCTCAGTTCAGGTCTTATTAAAGACATAAATGGGTAGAAATCCCAAATATTGTCTAAAGGAAGATTTTTTTTCTCTCAAATTAACCCAATAATTTATATATATGTAAATTATTAAAATTTTATAAAGATGTTGGTAAATTCCTGACCATTTTTACAGTTTGTCTTAGGCCTTTGAATTGTGGGAAGATCTTGGTAATCATTTCTGGAATCAATATAAGGTCTAGTTTTACATGACCTCTGTACTAATGATCAGATAGAGTAATCAAGATAATTAAGTTCATAGATGATTCCAAATTTAAAGATGGTATGAATACAAAATTTGGACTAATCTTTGCTTCTGTGATGCTATTTTGACAAAAAGGTTATCTGATATATACAGAAATATCCTTTATAATTATAGTCTTTTTTTGGTCATTGATAGTCTTATAGTTAACTTGATTTTTCTTTTATTAGATATTATGCCTAATATAGTTCTGCATTGTATATTAATGTGGAAAAACCAATGAAAAATATGCTTTTTAAAATAATGGCAGCTCCTCAATAGGATATAAGCTCAAGAAGACAATAACCCAAGGGGCAGTCATTATTCTCTAGTCAGAAAAGACTTGGATCAGATAACAAGAGCCCTGGCTGGGTTCAAGGCCCACTCTGGCACCAAGAGACTCTTGTTTATTAACTTCTGTGGATTTTTCTTTTTTTAAATAAAATGAAGGGATTGCACTCAATAATTTCTAATATACGCTTTAACTTGACAGTTTTTTTCTGTGATTATTTTATTTTCTACATGTATAGGTTAATTATTTTATAATAGAGACATATCACAGCTTTTACTGGATGCTTATATAGTATTTTATTATATTTAAATAACCAACAACTTATTCATCTAACAAATATTTTTTTTAATTTTTTTATTATTTTTATTTATTATAGTCACACACACACACAGAGAGAGAGAGAGGCAGAGACATAGGCAGAGGGAGAAGCAGGCTCCATGTACCGGGAGCCCAATGTGGGATTCGATCCCGGGTCTCCAGGATCGCGCCTTGGGCCAAAGGCAGGCGCCAAACCGCTGAGCCACCCAGGGATCCCTCACAAATATTTTCTAAGGGATTACCCTGGGCATAGAACTAGCCACTGTGATATAGTAGTAAAGAAAACAGACAGGCAAAATACCTCCTTTCATGGGACTTAACCATTCTACTGAATGAATATGTCTTGAATAAGACAGATTTAAAAATAGATTTTTTTTGAGACTTGTCAAAATTCTGGCAGGTGGCCTTATTAGAAGGGAAACTGCATATTCATCAAGTCAGCCATTGTGTGCAGGATCATACATTGTCTTGAATTAGCTCCCAAGTCAGTGGTGGTAGCCTGAAGTCAGCTATGGTGTGAGTATTTATATCATGAAAATTGGTCAACACTTCACATCAGGGCTTTAAAAGCGTTTTTTTTTTTTTTTTTAAAGTAATCTGATTTAACAACATACCATTGGTGCTCAGTGTTGTTAGGTGCCACAGCAGAAATGGAGACGTAGTTTCTACCTGTGTATATCGTTGGTCAGGCAAAGAGATGAGTCAGAGACACATGATGTGTAATGAGCTTATAGAGCCATACCAACAACCATTGATAGGATACTGATACTAATGAATTACTGAAGAGGAGTTGAAAGAAAAATATGTGAATTTAAAACTAGATTTTAAAGATGAAGTGATACATACTTGACCAGAGAAGCAGCAAGAAAATTTTAGAGAGAACATGTATAAACATTTTGAGGCAAGTGTTTACAGTTTTATGGAGGAAGTGGTGAGTAGGTTTGTTGGTCTAGAACAAGGTGTCAAACATTAGCTTCATATGAGCATGACAATGTCTAGATCCCTTAATAGCTTTGTCCTAGTGAAGTCCTGAACACGGCCAGGTTTTCACTAGCAGTGAAAAATGGAAGACTCTTTGAATTTAGTGACCTTATCTCTCAGTGATGCCTTGAAAGTTAAGGAAATAAACAATCCTTTCTACCAAATTTTGGGCTTAATATCAAATTGAAGGCTTCAGATGTTATGTGTAGAATACTGATATCAAATCTGCTGCAGATCCTTAGGCAACCTCCTCACCATGATGTTAAATCAGTTATTCGTAATATAAGGTAGGTTGACATAAACACCCAGCACTGTGAGATGCAGTCTTCCAACATTGAAGGGGAATGATCCTCTGTAGTATCATGCTGGATTATGCTTTTGCTAAGAATGGATGATGGTGGGACACTTGTACCTACTATGCAATAAGCTGAATGGCACATGCAAGGAGGGAAAAATGGAAAACTCTTTTAAGAATGTGCTGCTGCTCAGCTTTAAATGACACCTGGATCTGTACTTTTAGGAGATAACTGCAGCCAGTGGGCATGCTGCCCTATAGGAAGGAGTCCAGACTAGAATGCCTTTGAAATGGATGAGTACACAAACTCCAGTTATTTGTAGAAGGGCCACAAACCACAAGGCAAATAATTGAAAACATATAGATCAAAATTGGAAACCTCCTTTGAAATGCACAGTCACCCTGTGCATGCCTCACTCCATGCTCGGTTCACACCAGCCTTTTATCTGTGTGATGCATTGAGATAGCTGCAGATATTCAAGAAGTGGGAGCTGGAATTCTTTATTTCTGTCAATTTCCATAATGATGTTTTAGAATACCAATAGTAGTTTTATTATTTAAAATAAATAGAGGGTGGATGTACAGAATGAAGTAAACATGCTGTCTAATCAAATCTGTTTTTCATTTTTCAGCTCTGTATTTTGGAGCAATAACTGTATGAAGAAAATAACTAGCATGATTTTAGCAGTTATTAGCTTTTTAAGCTACCCTACAAAATCAAGTACTGTGTATGTACAGTTTAAAGTGATTTTTTTTCAATTTTCACATGGAAAATTAGCATGAGAAGAAAAATATCATAAATATCATTTTTTCCTCACCTTCTTGATATGCCCTTTCTTACATAGGAAGTATAAATAGATTTATAATAGCTTAGAATAATCAAGAAATTATAGCCAGAGATTTTGGTTGGTTATAATTTGGTTGGTGATCCTGAAACTGAGGCTGACCTTTAACATAGTCATTGAATGAGCTTTGAAGGTTTCATTGGGCAAACTAGGACTTGAAATTCTGCTTGAACTTGAAATATATAGTATACGATCATATACCATAGCAATACTTTGAACTTTCTAATTTTTAACTTGCTGTAAGTATCATACTTAGGAGCACCATGATGTCTTAGTGAGTTACCACTTGCAAATGACAGGTAATGACATAATAGTTGAGAAATAAATTCCTTGAAATTGTTCAAATATGTTTTCGTACAACTTTTTAAAAGAGGTATATACTTGAATGGGTGATACCATCTTTAAAATTAGTGTGGAATTAGGTTGAAATAAATTCAGAGTGTATATATGCCCAAAGTAAAACAGAAGCAAAACAAATTCTGGGTTGACATGCCTTAAATTGTTATGGGTTGGCTGGTGCACATAGGAAACTGAATGTTTATTGCGGTCATGATTTTAAGGTTTGGAGGTTATTATTATTATTGTTTTTACCACAGGTAGCCATCTTATTGGATGTGGTATAGAATCAGTTGTATTTAACAGTT